AATGCTGGGTGACAGAGAGGCTCAAAAGGCAACTGGACTTTGTCTTCTGACTTTCAAGAGGACAAAGGCCATGACTGCCCCTTCCCCCCAAACAAAACAAACTGTGATGATTAATCTCAATTGTCAGCGTTGACGAGATCTGGGAAATGTCTATAAAATCTGGGTGTGTCTATAAGGGACTGTCTTCCCCTACGACAGTTAGAAGGCATGCTTACTGTGGGGGGCACCATTCCCTGGGCTGAGATCCTAGATCAGCAGTTCTCAACCTCTCTGCCAAACACTACAATTCATAACAGTAGCAACATTACAGTTATGAAGTAGTAATGAAATAATTTTACAGTTGGGGGTCACTACAACATAAAGAACTGTATTAAAGGGTTGTGGCATTCGGAAGGTTGAGAACCAGTGCCCAAGACTGTACACTGCTCTGTACAGTAAAGGCAATCTCCTGATGTAAATGCAATATGACCGGCTGTATATGTGCCTGCTGCCTTGATTCCCCAACATGACTCCCACTCGTGGACCACGAGCCAAATCAAACTCTTCTGAAGTTGCTTTCGTCGGGATAAGATGCAAGGGAAACCCAAAACAAACCAATAAACAAACAAAATTGCTGAGTAAAGCAAGCAGAGAGGGAAGGAGGCAGGACGGCAGGGACATTACCTGAAATGCTCAAATGCTCGGTGGGCCAGAAAAAGAGCAAGGCACATGAGCACAAACCGAAGACAGCAGTACTTCAAAGAGTAGGTAAATTAAGGATGCAGTGTCCAGACTGGATGAGAAGTTTTCATCTTCACAAGGCTGGAATGTGTAGGAAAGGACCAAGGGGTGAAGCTTGGTGCTCCCCAGAGTGAGGAGTCCTAAGGTGTGTTCTTCCGTAAAGCTCCAAGTCAGCTGTTACCCAGGGACATTTATGGAAAATGGCCCGCCTTGAGCCTCAGAGCCATGTGAAAGCCAGCAGGCAAGTCTCTTGGTTCTCACGCAGGCCTCCAGCCATAATTCACTCACACTATGGGTCTCATGGGCTGAGAGCTTATCCCCAGGTTTCTGTTAACTCGTAGAAGCAAAACCAAAGAACTGCTCTGGAGAGCTACTTCCTTCCAGGGGCTTCTAAAAGGTCTTAGGAATATGGGTTTAGTCAAAGGAATTAGACACCACAAACAGGGCCAGTGAGATGATCCAGCGGGTGAGGAGCTGCACCAGGCCTTCTTGGCTCAGTGCAAATTCCAGGATTTTCACAGTGGGGAGAACCAACCACCATGTAATTTAGACAGGAACCCTTAGAAAAAAGTTGACAGTGGTGGTGGTGGTGGGGGGGGGATTCACTCATGTTTAGAAACCACAGCAAATTCTAAATAACTCGTGAGTCAAATCTTAAAAAGAAAACAATAAAAAAAATATCAAAAACTTAATGAATCTATGCCCGGTGAAAACACAGAGTCACCACGGGTTACATCGGAAATATAAGAATAACGAACACTAATGACCCCAACCCAGTTTAATTTAGAGGAGACTGCGGACACAACCCAACCCAAACCTCCACTAAGATAACAAGTTCTTCTTCAGATCCAATAAGCTCTTTCTGGAAAACACAGAGGGACATTTTAGGGTTCATAGGCCGGACGCTGTTCGGCTGTTCAACTCTGTCATTGTAGCTTAAAGACAACCATTGACATTGCACAAAAAAGCATGGGCTGTTGCAATACAAAACAGGAGGCAGGCTGGCCTGGCCCACTGACCCTGTCGTGCAGTTCTCAGAGAAAAACTGTCCAATTTCTGGGCAAGGGTGGTAGGTGGGGGAGAGACCTTATAAACTAGCTTAGGTAAAAATTACAACTACCTATGTGCCGGTATTGGAAGATGACCTGAATCGACATGTTTAGAAAAACGTAAACTCACCAAATGATTCAAGAAGAAATAGACGACCTTAATAGTCCTACAACTAACTTCTTAAAGCCATCCAAGGAAAACCCAACACCTCTTTTCAAGTGTCAGGTGCTGCAAACCATGTCCTCTGAGCGGAAGCATGGAGGAAAAGCATCTCTGTGCACAGCACGCTCTTGTCTGGGAGGGCTCCGGCTCCAAACCGAGGCTGCTGGAATTCTGAAGCCTCTCCGCTCTGGCTTCTTATATTGTGCTGGCACCTGACTGAAGCTGGCCTCACTGTTATAGGCCTGGGGCTTGATCTTGGTGACTTCTTAGCAGCCTGGTCTCCACAGTTTTGACAGAACTGTAATCTATGAGCTTCTCCACCCGGCAGCTCTCAGTTCCTGGACCAGCGACAAACGTAGGGCAGGGGAGCCTCGGATGAGCTCATGGCGCTCTAAGTCCTGAATGCTCTCCTGTCTTGTCATTTCCAGTTTCCAGGTTATTTCTCATCATCCCTTGACTCAAGATCTGAAGCATGCCGCCCGCCTTCTTTACCCGCTCCTGTCCCCTACTATATATCTCTGGACAGACGAGATCTTCCGCCGGCCAAAATCTCTAACGCCATACCTGGGCTGTCCCTGTCCTATACCAAGAATGTGAGTGGTTGTGTTGCCATTGCCCAGCACCATGTGTGTGTGCGTGCATGTGTGTGTGTGTGCATGTGTGTGTGCACACGCGCGTGGTACATGCACACACCTAAAGCTACAGAACAATGCTCTATTGTATAATTCTTCACCATAGAGGACACAGTGCTTTGGGGGAACAAATACAAACATGTTTACCAAAAAAAAAAAAAAAAAAAAAAAAAAGAATTCTACGGACTTGTTGGGGTTGACATTTCCCCCTGGCATCGGAGATGGTAGTTTTCACCACTACTAACTAAAAATTTAAACAAAAGCATCAAAAGGTTTTTGTTGTTGTTGTTTTGTTTTTTTTTTTGTTTTTTTTTTTTTTTTTTTTACAAAGAAAGCTTTCAGAACAGACAGATAGAGCCAAGGATGTCACATAGTTCCTGATGTGGAAACCGAAGCTAAACAGGTGGCATTCTTTTATCCTAGATATCTATAAATATTAAAAGGCCTTTCTCTGATTTATATAGCTAATATTTTCATAATGCCTGGAAGGCCACAACGGCACTTCTACCTTCTAGTCTCTCATTAATTTCAGATTTCCAGTGCCCTCCAAGGTCTGAGAGAGCCGGGGACTGGGTTTGTTAACTTCTACCCCCATCTACAGTGTTCTGATAGATGCACACACTTGAGCCCCAAGTAACAAGAGCTGTCCAAGGGAAATTCTGAGGCCAGAGGACTTTCCCAAAGCTCCACCCCCATCTCCCATCATCCAGCACTTGACTTTCCCAAAGCTCCGCCCCATCTCCTATCACACAACACTTGACTTTCCCAAAGCCCTGCCCTCATCTCCCAGAACCCAGCACTTGACTTTCCCAAAGCTCCGCCCCTTTCTCCCATCATCCAGCACTTGACTTTCCCAAAGCTCCGCCCCTTTCTCCCATCATCCAGCACTTGACTTTCCCAAAGCTCCGCCCTCATCTCCCATCATCCAGCACTTGACTTTCCCAAAGCTCCGCCCTCCTCTCCCATCACACAACACTTGACTTTCCCAAAGCTCCGCCCTCATCTCCCAGCACCCACTGCTCATCTGCGGCTTATGACGGCCTCAGGACTTACAGACCATCTACACCTATGAAGCAAGAGCAAGCAAAAACAAAGGCCTTTGCAGGAAAGGCCTAGCAAAAACATGATTCTCTCGAATTGTTTAATTTAAGGAAGGGTGGTTTTCATCGTGAAATTGGTTAGGGTTATTAAAGTCATCTTGTAAAAGTTACTTTGACATTGAGGAAAGTATGGGATTTTTACTCAGCTTTGTGCTTCATCCGTAAAACGTTAAATATCATATAAAAGATTAGGTTAAAGTGCGAAGCTGAAATCCCCAGCACGTTTCACCTTTTCCCTGCTAATTACGGCTTTCTAGCTGGATACCTTTATTCATTGACAGGTGATTTCAAAAGGCACTGAAGAGCACCCCAACCCTCGGGCGCAAGGGTGCCTGTGAACCAGGAGACAAGGTAACACCCGATAATTGTTTATGCTAATTCCAAAAGAGACCATGCAGATCAGCCATTCTCGCCAACCAATTCTGCAGTCATAAACTTCACCAGAGGGTGAATCTGCTGAAAACAAGATTAACATAAAAAAAAAATCAACCAGTGATAGCCATTAAAAGGGTAGTGAGGAGGAAAAAATTCTCATACTCTTTTACATCAACTCATACCATTAAAGCAGAGAAGAAAATTAAATCGATGCAATAAAGACATTCAACATATATAGAATCTGACCAAACAAGAAAATACACATGAATAAAAGAATCACAAAATTTCTTACTGAGGAATGTAAAAGATCTATTATAAAATAGGGAAAACCATATACTGTACCGCTCATAGGTCCCATTAGTATAAATATGCCAACTATTATCAAGTCTATTATACAGTAAAACAGTTCTAATCAAAATAACGCATTTTTTTTTAAAAAAAAGAAACTTGATAAATGTATCTAGAATTTTGTTTGGAAGGAAACGTGTAAAATTACCAAAACCTTAAAAACCGAACCAAACCCAGAAAAGCTGTAACACAAGAGGACAGAGGTACTTGTTTTTCTGGGCGGCAGACAGCATCGTAGGGCTATCCAGTTTATATAGTCCATGTCGTTGAGGGACACCAAACTCAGTTCGGCCAAACAGGACCAGATCAACAGATACAGCTAAGTAAAACAGCGAATGCCAAAGGAAGAATGGCCGTATGGGAAAGAAACAGCATTATATAAGACAAAGGCTTATGTCCATAAACTATATGAAATTTTCATCTATCTTGATTTGGGTCTCACTATATAACCCTAGATGTCACACTTTTGGTATTTTCAGGGCTGCTCCTCCCCTGAAAACCATAAGCAAACTCCTTGCAGGAAACAGCAGCGTGCAAACAGCAGCATGCGCACGCACACACACACACGCAGGCATTCACAGGCTCACCCACACCCACCCAAAACGTTCCTTACCTCATGCAATGTGAGGTGTTTGCCATCCTTTCTCTTGGAGTCGAACCGTCCATAGATGGCGCTGTACTTTCGAATCTCCTCTTCCTTGTGTGGGTCATCATCGCTCATCTCGAAGATGTGACCAATCATTTTGGCCAACTTCTTATTGTTCTTGAGCAGCTCTTTCACTTCGTTCAAGTCACTTTTGGGCAGCGTGGAAGCCATCCGCTCCACACACTCGGCCACAGAGAGCGCCGCGGCAGCATCCAGAGCCTCGCTGCTCTCCTTCGGGGAAGCCGGGGAGCCCAGGTCAGCTGGGGAGAGACTGTGCTCGCTCTCACTGGCGTGGTGTCCTTGCCAGAGCCTGGACTCGCCCACGCCCTGCAGCGCCAAACTTCCCACCTCCGACTTGCCCTGACCCAAGCTCTGCACACACGTGGTGGCGGCGCACTTCGGGATCTTTAGATGGGGTTCCCGCGCACTGCTGTTCCTTTCGTAACTACTGCAGGATATGCCGAGCCAGGTTGGTGACCCCTCTGGTAATTTATAGATAGGTATGCTACTGACCGGAAGGGAAGTCAGTGGCTGATTGAAAAGGCCAGGGTTGGTAACCCAGTCTCTCAAAGCCTTCTGCAGCCTTCTAACGTGAAGGGGCTTGCTTGCCATGCCCACGAGCGCCATGATTTCCAAAAATTCCTCTTCTCCAGCTTCGCAAAGTTGCTGGACGTCATCGCCACCTTGTTGGATGAAGGCATCGAAGTAAGAAAGCAGGTTGGCCTTCTGCAATATTCTGTACAGCTGCAGCTCCCCCAGGGTCCTGGGTAAGGCTGTGGCCATCACTGTGGATGGGCTTAACCTACAAAAAGAAGGGGGAGAAGGCTCAGCACAATTGCTTCGAGCTCCATCATCGGGCTGAGACGTTGTGAGATAGAGATAGACAACACAGGTGGAAAAAGACGCGACCCATCTGCAAAGCGGTTGATAGTTATGGATGCTATCTCCCGACATGCATACTTTATCTAACTGTGCACTCGGCTCAGAAAGTCAGTTGCTGAACTGACCCTATGCTCTCAAAGGAAATGGCGATAAAACACAGACTGGGAACTCAGACCAACGCTTGCCAGGTTTAGCCTACATTCTCAGCTTTTATGTTTTCTTCCCTTCATCGTGTAGACATGGTGATGAAGAAGAATAAAACAACTGCCTTGCCTGTTGATAGGGCAGAGTTTGTGTAGGCTGAGAGGACTGCACTGCATGCTGGGCAAAAGAAGGGTGGAGTCAAAGAGACGCCATGGAGCCATCAGAGTCAGACATGCAGAATCTTTGCTGGTAAGCCACTGCCACGTGGCGATATACCAATTAAGAGAAATGGGTTAAATTAATATAAGCGTTAGCCAATTAGAAGCTAGAGCTAATGGGCCAAGCAGTGATTTAATTAATATAGTTTCTGAGTGGTTATTTCTGGTGTAAGCTAGCCGGAAAGAACAAGCAGCCCCCTCCTCTTACAAAAAAGTCCACACAGAAAAGCATGTATATGCAGTCTTTTCCGTAAGAGGATGGTAGCTTCACAAGGTCTACTGAGTGCTATGCTAACTCACGCCATTTTTCTTCTCCAGATCATGGGATAGAGGAAACAGTTCACAATAACAATAAGGTGAACAGAACATTTTAGTCTTTTTATAGCAATGAGAAAAATGAGTATTTGTTAGACAAATATAAAAACACAAAAGGATCTTGGGACCCAAAAGACTTGAAACCTAGATTGTAGTCTTCTGAGGCAATGGTTTTACAAACCAGCAGCTTTCAAGTCTTACCCTTTCTCCTGTACTTTACCAAGCCTCCTGGCTCTTGAGAGAAAGTCCTTGCGGACTGGGGGAAGCACCTCACAATGGAAAGGAGGATGGGGACAAGGGTACATTTCCAAAGCCAAACCAACAGACGAAAGACCGACATACTGCTCAGAGTCCCAGGAGGCTTTCCAGAGACCCACACCCACAGCGGGGAGAAGAGGTTTCTCCCTGAGCTTTCCTGCAGGAAGGCTGCATCAGTCTCCGTCAAAGCCCGCTGCGATCATTTAAAAGCCCACGACTTCATAGTTACTTGATTCGATTTAAAACTCCTATGAGACTTTCTGCTTCCACGACATTGGTAACCATCCGATGAAAGTCAAATTAGCTGAATGTAAACTTTGCCTGGGTCTCTCTGAGCTGGGTATCAAGGGTCCTAACAGCCATACAGACAGGCAGTTGATGATACAATATATCCACTCAGCTAAAAGCCACATTACCTGGCACCATGAGCACCAATGGAGCCTCGGCGGCTTAAAGAAAGCATTGACTCATCATTCCTGCTGTTTCCCAAAGGTAACCTACTGCCTATGCGATCCCTATGCCTCAGTCAGCGAGAAGAACACAGCGTCAGAAAAGAGGAATTTTCAAAGCAGGAAAAGGTAATTCAGAATTAGCTCTAGAACGCTTACTGCTCACTGAACGGTAACCTCACACAATGTTTCCCACGGTGGCCCATCCCTGAGTAGCATCGGTAACCTGCCTGGCCCAGGCTGTGCTGAGAGAAAGGAGCAGCTGTCTGGTCACAGATCACCTCTTACTCTGTCTGCTAGGGGAACAGGATCTTCCATGCCTGGGGCTGACAACTCAGGGTAAGACAGAGAGGGGGCCTTTCGTGGGCTTCCAGTCCACAGCATCAGGACCCACTGGATTACCCCAAAATCTCAGGGGACTTCTGGCTTTTCACCAGGGATTTCCCGTAATCTCCCGGTGGCTTGCCATGCCCTGAGATGTTTTCATTTGACTCTGGTAACGGCGTGCGGATTTCCTCTCCCGTCTTCTCTTACTGCATCCTAAGTTCAAACGCTCTTTGAAGATGTTGGCACGGAAGGGAATTTACTATGATGGCTAGACTAGTCTCAGGTGGTCCCCCTGCCTCAGCCTTTCTGAGGCTGAGATGTCCAGGTGTGGGGGGACACCACAGCCGTCTCTGAGAGCTCTGAACTGCGTCTCTTTTCCCAGGCTGCCGTGATGTGTCTTGATGATCTGTCCTACACCAGACGGTCAACTGTTATGGCGGGCAGTCACCAAATCTGTGCCCATGGCTTGACCAGGATTTCTTGAACCTCTTCTACTTACCACGCCTTCCCGCGGAATAGTGAAAGAGACACCAGTGTAGGATATAAAAGACTATACAAACCGAGCACTTTCTGATAATAAAATCATAAGGAAGCCTTTGAACAGCTCCTTAGCAAGCGTGCAATTTTACATTTATTAAAGATGAAAAGCTAAGGAGGCGACTGTGCTTGTCTTTACGTGAAGAGTGAAGCTTTGTCTGAGCGTGCGAAGTGGCAGGACACACAGCATCTGCACTATTTTCCTGAGCTGATCAATATTTTTATTTCACAACCGTCCATGCTGCGTATGAGGCTTTCGCGTAAATATGTAAAACGAAAAGGCAGCATTCTGTTCAGGGCCACTTCGGACACTGTGAGAAATCCCGTCCCAATCTGAAGCCAAATTTTATTTAATAAAGTTTTGTGTTTGTAAAACTTGTCAGCAACTCAAAACAGCGACTTCTAAACCCAAGCACCCTAACATAATCAATCCACAGACGCTCTAATTAGATACTAACCCACTACGGAATGACGGCAGAAAAATAGAGTCTTTGTTTTCTGCCACCGAGCTGTTTCCATAAAAGCAGAAAACGTTTTATGTACAGTCAAAACAATGTAGTTCATAACCTATAATAGTCTCGAGTGTGAGTCAAGCGGTTTCTGGTCGCATTCGCGGGTGCCCCGTGCGTGGAGTGAAAGCTCGACAGAGTGACGTGTGTGTGTGTTGCGTGTTCGGAAACCAAGGCCTTCGTAGAGAAGGAGGAGGCAATACAGGCCGTCCAGCCAGAAACACCTTGAATACTAAATCTTTTATTTATTTATCGGATTCTTGTTGAGTTCAGAAACCATTTTCTACTGCCAAACCTTCACCACCCCACGCACTGAAGTACATGATCCTACACGGGGTCATTACCCATACTTTCATAACCCGTGGCTTGGTGAGGGTAATTCATGAATAGAATATGGAGTCCCTACAAAGAGATCTCAAAGTAAAAATGAAGCTTTTTCGTTACTTTTCTGATTTCGTAAGATACAGACCGATTTAATGTCTTACTTTGAGAACGTTCAGCGCAGTGTCAATGAACAATACTAAAAGTCACCCTGAGTGGGTGCAGGTTTTATATTCAAAAGTGATTCTCATGTCTGAAATATCTGAGGATGATGAACCTGAATTGTTGCCCATGGACTGGAGTTTGGCATCACCCAAGGACTGCCAAACCCGAGGACTGCCAAACCTTGCCTGGTGTGCTCCCAAACAGGGCTATGGTCTCATCTTCTTCCAGCTTTCCAGATTCCCAGATGAGTTCTTTGCAACCCCGTCAGTCTTTGTCAATGCACTAACTTCCCTGTTTCTCAGATGAATACAGATGTTTCATCCTTGCCTTCTCCATTTCTCTTTTTGAATCTGCGTGCCCTTAGACCATTCCATCAGCCCCAGCCTTTCTTTTCCCCAAGCACCAATCCTGGTTTTTACTGCTTCTTGCCCGCTGCCCAGCCCCTTCACTGCAAGTCCAGGTTTTCCTTCTTCTCTGCAAATTTCCCCACTGCCTGAGACAAGCAATCTAAACTACTCCTGTGGGCACCCCACCTAAACCTGCCTTCCGTCTCTAAAACAACGTGCTCTAAAAACAAGGTACTACCCTGGTTACTGGAGCCCTGAGGGTAGGAACTGGGTTTTGTTCATCTTTGCCTTTATTCTCAGCAAAGCATTCTATGTGGAATACTATTTCCAGACTTCTATAGCGTGAAGCCCAATGTTTGAGCCCGTCTCTGCTCAGCAGCCTCCTTTCGTATTTTGAGGGCTATCCTCAGCCAACTGCTGTCTGCCCCAGGAAACGACCAATCCAGCAGCAGCATGTTCTTCTACATCCTGCTCCGTCATCCTCACTGACTCATCCTAAACAGTCTGCTTTCACAGGGGGCTACGCTGCAGACTCTGACCAACTCTTCACCCAAGAGATCAAGGGATGAATGGCACCGAGGAACTGCACATGCTCAGAACTGTAACGGATGACATGTATGACGTCACCCCCAAGTCAGAGGTTTCTAAGAATTTAGTTCGACAAGCAGAGGACCAAACTAGTCCCTCTGAATGTGACTGACAGTTGCATGGCTGGGGCAGACTGAGGGGACACTGGCAGAGGCACTGGCATTTATCTCTACTGCATGGACTGGCTTTTTGGGGTTCTCCTATTCTATTTGGAGGGATACCTTGCTCAGCCTAGATACAGTAGGGAGGGCCTTGGACCTTCCACAAAGCAATGTGCCTTACTCTCTCTTAGAATTAGATGGGGGTGGGGTGGGAGGGTATGAAGGGAATGGGAGGCGGGGAGGGAGTAGGAATTTGGATTGGAATTTTTTTTTAAAAAAAATCTAATTTTTTTTTTTAAAAATTAGTTTGATCATGAGAGATTCTGGGTCATGTTGCCTGTGTTCTTAAAAATCCAAAACGGTGTGTTTCAAATAAATAGCAAGCACCTCATAAATCATCGCTAGCCTTTAACAGATTTATGTCTATTTCTTAAGTGTTTTCCCTCAGTGCTGTAAGAATGATTGGCACATACACATTCAGCACCTGTGAATATATACTCGATATGCTCTCTGGAAGTCTGTGGCAGTCCAGAAGACTCGGGACCAAGAGCAAAACCTTGGTAAGGCCTGACTTATTTACGCAACACAGTGTGAATTTTCACTTCAAGGTTTCAGAGTTAATAACCACCTCTTGGGAAACATCAAGTAACACCTTAGCGAAGACCTCATGCGTCACTGACAGAGAGAGAAGAACTAACCCCATTAGACTGTTGATCTCTTAACACCTAAGTGAGGTCTGCTGTCCTCACAAGTGAAATTTTAGAAAGGAAGGGGGCAAGGGCCTTAAAGCCTCTGAAGCCCCAGCGAGTTTCAAAGTGTAGCTTGGAAGCAGAGAGGCCTGGGAGAAGGGAACGGCAACCACAGCAAACGATGAGACTCCAAAGTTCGGCCTGGGAAAGGAGAAGCCGGTAGGAGACGGCACTTTCTCATTTCCAGTACCGGACTCCAGAACGTGTCTGTGGTTCGCTGTGGTTTCCTTGCCTTTCATGGGCTAAGGCTGCAGAGCTCTCCTGGAGACCTATCAGTCCCCGTGTGCTTCCCAGGAAGCATGGGGTGATGGGTGTTCACTTTGTCTGGGCTTTGCTGATGCTGGAGGCTGGACAGCCAGCCAGAAGCGTCCATGCATACGCTCCTACCATGAGCTACACTCTCGGGCCCACAGTGGTAGCTCTGAAGACAATTTCAGGTCTTATTGCTCACGTAGCTATGAATTTATGCTAACTTGGGAACGTTAAAGTGTCTGTCCCTATGGATTCTTCCCTCCTATCTGAATAAAACCGGGAGCAGGTTTTCGAGAGATTCCTTTTAATTCAGCCCGAGCCATCGAAGGGTGAGTTAAAACACATGGATGAGAATTAGAAAAAGATAAATCAGAGTCACTTGGTTACTCAACAACTACACATTACTATCAACAGACAAACACTAACATCTTACATGATGGCTGAGAATTCTTCAGCCAATGGGGGTGACACACGACAGCCATTAAGAGAAGCTGGGCAGACCGCAAGCAAAACGTAGACACATAGAAACCCGACGGTCTTCCGACCTTCCTCTGTGAGAAGTACTAACGCACCATGTAAATTAATACACAGCCCCTAAATACAGTGCGTTGAAAGATGACATATTATTTGAAAGCTTAATGATACGTTTTAGCTGTGAGAATTCTCAAGATGAACATTAGTGCTTTTCCCCCAGCATCAACTTCTGAAATTTCCCTCTTGTTCCATTACCAAGACGAGAGAGTATATTCTACCACTGGAGGAGTTATTGAACGTGTCAGACCAGAGAGGAAATTTGCACTTACTATAATAATCACACTAGACTCCTTTCTACCTCTCAAGGGATCAAAAGCAGCACGTGAAACAGGAGAGACCCAAGCAAAGCAGCCGGTGAGCTTACATTATACTCAAGAGGCTGTCTTTTATTCTGTACTATGGTTGATAAAATCCACAATGAAATAGGCACACACAAAGGAGCTGTACATGACCATAATCTTTAGCCAATAGATGGTGGCCCTGTGGTATCCAGCACACAGCTTCACATGATGTCAAATACAGAGCTTTTCAAAAAAAAAAAAAGGGGGGGGGCAAAACCAGGTTTATTACCATGAAAGTTAAGGACTAACTCTAGGGCAGATTCTAAGTCGCCAAACACAAAATTCTAACACACTTGTTTCCATCCAACCATTCTGGACTCTAAAATTTGTTCATGAAACACTATCTGCCTCCCTTTAGAATTTCTTCTTTCAAAGCATCTACAATGCAAATTTTAATAAATCGTTTTGTCCTTCAGTTGAAGCAAAAGAAAATATGAAGTGCTTTAGCTGATGGTCTAAATAACAAAGAGGAAACAAGGCTAGGCTTTCCATAGGGCAGTGGTTGCCACGAACCAGCAACCCAAAGGGAAAACTTGTAGTTTAGCTAAGATGATGCAATTACACTAGTTTATTTATTTGATGTAATTTATTAGACATAATAGCTCACTAAAATTTCCTGTATCGGCTATATCTTTAAGAATTTGCCATCTGAAATACAGTCACATCAAAGGGACAGAATGAAATAAAAGGTCCAATGCCCGGGAGTTTTTCTTTCCAGTTGTTACTGGTACAGTCCCACACAGCAGGAGGCTCAGCGGCAGGAGATAAAAAAGTGTGCTCAGTAGTGGAATTGGCAGGTTAAGCAAAAAACGTTCAAGTCAAAAATGTAAAAGCACACAACCAAAAATCTCCTTAACGTTCCTTGAGGTTATTTTCTTTCAAGATGTAACGTTCCAATATCGAAACTGGAAACAACAGGGATGAAGAAAGCCGACCCTGATGCCCATCTACAAATGCTCAACAGCATCTTTATGGCAGAACTGAAAGTCTCAAAAAGATGCAAGGTAGAGGAAGAATCCGCCAATCAAAGTCACTTGTCCTGGCACACAGGCAGGGCATGAGGCAGCTCTTTCACCCTCAGGAAGATAGCCTCCACCCAAAACATCCTATACATCCTCTCTCCGATATCTGTTCCTAAAACCGGAACATGAACTATAAATATCATAACATATTATACAAAGGAAGAAATTTCAAAAAGTGAATATTTTAAAAGGGTAATTCGCTGCGTGTACAAAACAGCGAGGCATTTCGGATGTGACTAATCTATTTTAAATCCGGCTCCTCTGCAATCTAATATTACCTATTAAAACTGCCAAAATATTTTTAAACGAGATCCCAGAAATCTCCCTCAGAGATTCTGATCTTTGCACTCCGTGAAGTTGGCAGGCACGTCACTGGCAAACCAATCAGTAGTGACAAGTTACTCCAAACCAGCTCTTTCGGATCAAACTGTAAATTAACAAGACACGCCAAAAATTCCCAAGCCTCCCTGAGCCAGGGCATGGTTCCTCCTGGTCGCCGGCTGCAAAACTTGGTCTGCGCAACCTACGAACGCACGGTCCAGCTCTACACCCCCGGGAGCCTCTTTGCACATCTCCGGTTGGACCGGACTTCGGTGTTTGTCCCCAGAAGGCCACACACCTGCATCCAAAGCTTCTATGTCCTACACGTGTCTGCACACTCCCCACTCAGCCTCAGAGGCTCGGCGACTCTCGCTTCCCTGCACCTGGGTGCCAAGTTTCTGCGAGCCACTTCCAAGCAAAACTCTCCTTCCGCTTTGAAAACAGAACTACAGTAGGAAGGGGCGGATAACAGGAAGAAAACGGAGACGGAGCGGCACTTTTAGGAAGTCGCCGATCGCGGCGGCGCGGGCTCCCCACGCGGGCGGCGGGCGCGCGCCCCCCGCCACCGTCCCCCCCCACCGACCCCCCCCCCGCCCGCGGCCGCCCCGCCGAGCCCCACGCCCCCCGCTCCTGCCCCAGGCCCGCCCGGTACCTACGCGGCCCGCGGCTGCGGCGCGCTGCGCGACGACGGCTCAGCCCGGCTCCTGCGGCGGCTGCAGCGGCCGGGACGCCCCCGCGCCCATCGAGGGGGGCAGGGACGCGGTGGGCGCGCGCTCCGTCCCCCGCCCGCCCCGACGGCGCTCGGTCGGCCGCGCGCGCGCGCGCTCGCGCGGGCGGAGGCTCAGGCGGAGGCGGGAGGCGGCGGCGGCCCCGGGCGCCCTCCCTCGGCCTCTCCCGCCGCCCCTCCCTCCGCCTCGCCCTCCCCCGCCACCTCCGCCGCCCCCGCCCCCGCCCCCCCTCCCGCCCGGCGCGCTGTCACATCGGGAGATTCCGCTCTTGCTCCATTCGCCGCTCCGGCTCCCGCCCACGCGCGGCCGAGTGACGCAGATCCCGGCGTGGGCGGCCGCGGGGCGGGGGTGGGGGCCGGAGGGGCTGGGGCTCGGCGCGGTCCCGGGGGAGGCCCATTCCCACGGCAGCTGGGAGCGCGCGGGTGGGCGCGCGGGGGGGACGCGGGCCCGGGAGGAGGATGCAGCGGCCGCGGTGGAGCAGACAGCGTGGCCGGCCGAGCCCCGCGCCCCGCCAGCCCGGGTGTGTGTGCGCCCGGGGGGGGACAGCGGCGGACTGGGAACCGAGCGCCCGGGCCGCCCCACCCGTGCTGGGCGAGCTGGCCGCGCACCGAGCACGCCCACAGGTGCGGCGGGACTCCCGCCTCGCCCACCCCACCCTGTCCCCACCCTTGCCCAGGCCTGGGTAGAGAAGGGAGGAAAGGGAACCCTCTGGCCTGGTAACTGAATGCCGCCCTTTTCACCATCTGAAAACCCTGTGGCTGGTCTCTGTTGGCTTCCTGTAGGCAAATGACACCGCCGGTACTGTCTTGGAGTGTGTCAAAATAGAGTTCTTGAGGCACGCTGTAGAAATTTTGAGCTTGGTTTGCATAAACTTTTCTAGCCAAAGAAAGCATTAAAGCACCTTCAAAATTGAAACCGTTGCCAGAAATTAGAAAAAATAAATAAATAAATCTGTTTTTGCCTTCCTTTTTTTTTTTAAAAAAAAAGTATCCAAGCTTTAATGGTGTGCCCTTCTGCAATACAGGTAGAATCCTGTTTTAATATACACATAAAACCCCAGTTTTATATAGGAGGCTGTTCCCACTTCCTGGCTGGCCTCCCAGAGTGTGCCTACTTGGTTGAAGGGGATACAAGGCATTCTTTGAGAAGAGAAATTCTTCAACCACATCTTTATGTTGCAACAATGGATGGGATGATAATATTGAAAGAAAAAGACCTTATTACACAAATCTTTTTTTTTCCTTTTGTAAAAACATGATCTACCAATGAGTGACGTCAATGAAATAAATATGCACTTAGATAAATACATAGGTAAACGCACAAATATATATATATATATTTAAACTGAAATATCTTTCCTGTTAGTGACTAGCTCTATGTGGAATAATTGGTATTTTAAATAAATATGCTTAGTTCCTCAAATTCTTCAGAAGAAATCACTGCTGCGAGTTTCTCCCCACCCCTCTAAATGTCAGGGTTTATGCAGCTGGGGCCCGGCTCTCCGATGAGAAAGCTAATTTGAGTGGTTGCAGTACAGTCAAGGCTGCCGAGGCAGTTTCTTGGCTGGCGTGGAAAGGTAGAGGTTAACGGATAACCGGTTGGGCAATGAAATCCACAGAATTCTTCTGATTCTTCGCTGGAACCCTGATGGTTTGCAAACATTGTTGGTTCTGAAAAACTGGGGTGGAGGTGACGGGGGGGGGGGGGCGGCGGGTGTAAGGGGAGCGCTTAATAGGATGTAGTTAGTGAGTCATGGACCGATTCCACCCCCACCCCCACCACCACCACCACCACCATGGCCTTCCCTGGAATAACTAACTACTTGCGAGGCTCTCCCAGAGCGGGTGTCTGTCGTGCTGAAGGTGATGTTGATGAAGACGTGGGGCCGGAGAGTCTGACTGGTAGCGAGGCTATTGCTCCAGCTAAACACTCAAGTCCTTCCTTGTTTGTTTTCTGGGCACATTAGATAGTGTTCTTCCCACATTACGAATGGCATTCTGGGCCCACTTTGCTTCGCTTCAATGCCCTATGGTGCTGGGCGAGGTGGTGGGAGGAAAGAAAATGAAAGAGAAAATCTGAAGCTTTTAGGCATCCGGTTCGGTATGACGACACTGGCGTCGACAGGACTTCTGGGAAAGAGCTGAGGTATTCGCCTGTATGTGAGACAACCTGGAGGAGCCAGCCCTCCCATCCCTAAACCCCACCCCCCTGGTGCTCTAGTGGTTGGTTAATGGTAGGAGAAGGAATCCACTCTGTGAGGTAGCAATTAGGGAGCTGGGTTGTTCTCTGAAGGTCCTCTGGGAGACATTAGACAGTTTTAGAATTTCTTGGAGGCAGTCCCAGGCAGTTCTAAGAGAACATGGCAACACAAACGGTTCTTGAGACCATTTGGATATCTTTGTTCAAAAATGGTCCCTGCAGTGGCGGCTTTGTTGCTTCTGTTTTGATTTTCCCATAAATACCTGTATGCTTAAGTTACTCATGTTCTCCAGGACATCTTGTTAAGTGCTAATTAAATACCAAGTTTAAGGTTGAGTTCTTGGCACGCGAATAACCAGTCTAAATCACGGTTCCACTCCCAGGACTTTTCTATAAAACCGCAAAAATAAGGAGATCAAAGGAAAGCCAGCAAGCTGAGGACCTCTCTCTGTTTCTTTGTAGCCTTTTATTTCCTATATACCCTCCCAGATGCGGGCGCTAACAATAACACCATCCTCGGGGGCACAACTTTAAATACAACCCACAGTGAGATACAACCAAAGGTCTTTAAAATGGGGGAATCCTGTCTCATATCCCAGAAAGAACCTAAAGGTTAATGGGATGTCATCTCTAGTCGGCAGATGTTTCTGTCTCTTGGTCTTTTGTTTATAGCTTGGGGGGGGGGGTGCGCGCATGCGCTCACTAAACAATGGCCGACTCATACCAGTCAATCAATATTTGTTGAGTAACTGAATGAAATAGAAAACAGCAACTTACTAGCAAACGATTTCTTGTGTACTTTGTAGATGGTCTTAGCATGAATTTCATTTCCTGGTAGAAGAATCTAAGATGTGTCTTATCTACTTCTGAGCGAATGCGTAACTCATTCAATAAAACATTGAGGTTGAGAATATGTTTACAATAAATTGCAATATAATAAGTTCCGAAATAATGCCTGACTGTTGGAATAATTTATATTACGTTTTCAGGCATATTTTTTTTTTTTTTGGCTTTTTCGAGACAGGGTTTCTCTGTGGTGTTGGAGCCTGTCCTAGAACTAGCTCTTGTAGACCAGGCTGGTCTCGAACTCACAGAGATCCGCCTGCCTCTGCCTCCCGAGCGCTGGGATTAAAGGCGTGCGCCACCATCGCCCGGCAAGGCATAATTTTTTTTAAAAAAACAAATTGCCAAGGTTGTTAAATACACCAAGTTCTGAGCTCAGCCTTAGCAGTTTGGAAAGATGCCTAGGAAGCATTGCCCCTCACCCTTCCTTAAGTTGTGTTTATTCTCAGAACACCATCTGCAGATATCCCCGGGTTAGCTCTTATCTGCACAGGCAGGGATAGACAGAGCTACTTCCCATGACTCAAATCTAAATTGTTCTAAGTTTTGAAAACACTTTTCTATGAAATCTGAAAGTTCTTTTTTAGACTATTATCTTAGCTTTTATCCATCCCTGATAAAGATGGATTCGGGAGCTTTCTTTTTCTCCCCTCGACTGCTAATTTTAGCCGATGTGAAGTGTGTCATAGCATATAGTCAAGTCTAATATTTATCCGGAAAGAGAACCAAATTTTCTCTTCTGGGTTTAGAAATTATCATTTTGGAAGAGTTTCTGGATGGGGAATTCAGAATGATAAACCAACATCCAGGAGACCATCCAAGAGTCACAATGAATGCACAAAAGTGGCACACCTTTCAAAACAGCCCGGATGTAGCCGATGAGCGCCGCCCCTTCCCTGTCTTCTAATGGCTTCCCTAGCATGGGAAGCCGGCCCAGGAGAATCAAGACTGCGGTAGATGGTGCATCAGATAGCAGCAAATTACATGCTGAGAAAATGATTCCCTTTGCGTTTCTTCTCCTTCTGTCCTTGGAAGGGAGAAATCCAAGTTGCCAGTCTGCCTCTAATCCTCTTACAGTTACTAAATTCTGCCAGAGAGAGAGAGAGAGAGAGAGAGAGAGAGAGAGAGAGAGAGAGAGAGAGAGAGAGACCAGGTTTCCTTCAGAAGCCTCTGGCAGGCCTTAGTCTGTAGCTAGAATCTGAAAACATTGTTTCCCTTTTAAGGTTGTCCTCTACGGAGGCAAATGAGATTCGCTGAAATAAAGATACCAAAATATCTTTTAAATAGGTGTACTTAAGTAAAGGAAACCCAACTGTATAAAAGAAAATTGCTAGGGGATCTAGGTTGTGACCTTTGTGATTAAGAAAGGTAAATTATGAAAAGATGATGGAGGAAGGTCATTGGCTAATAAAGGCACTGCCCTGGCCCATTTTATTGGTTAGAGGATAGGTGGGAGGAGTAAACAGAACAAAATGCTGGTAGGAAGAGGAAGTGAGCTCAGAGACTCCACAGCTCTCTCGGGGGCAGACGCCTCAGAGAGAGACGCCATGCCCCGCTCCCGGGATGAAGCTCCGACCCAGGATGGACTAGGCTAGAATCTCCCTGGTAAGCGCACCTTGGGGTGCTACACACAGATGATTATAAATGGGCTATATTAATATGTGAG